TCAGATGGGTAAACAATTACCTGATACGAAAGGGGTCTCTATGATCGGTGAAAGAAAACAGCACGCGAGGCTCATAGATATGGAAGAGACTTTTTAAAGTACTGGGGCATTGCACAAGGGTTAGTGATAAGATTAGTTAGTCCTATTCCTATATAGCACAATTACGACTTTCTGATTATGAATTTAAAACTTGCCCCTTGTAGGAGATGGGTTATACCCCTCCACAAGGCCCATCAAATGGAGAAGCTTAGCCCGATGTGACAATCTACTCGGCCCACTAAACGCGTAGGAAACGCCTCAGCACGAGGACGTGTCTAGTAGCGCGACAAAGAGCGTTCTAGAAGACTCGGTGGAAGCAGGATTTACCCGGGCTACTAAACGGGCCCACGAGAATCAAGCCCAACAAGGCTCAAGTGAACTAGGGCGAACACGAGGACAAGGTCTATAAAAGGGATAAGAGGAAGCAACAAGAAGGGGGGGACAATTCGACATACTCACTTGGCGGCTAGATCTAGGGTTTCTTAGCGACTAGGTGGTTAGATCTAGGGTTTACTCACCTTCCCGTTTAGTCACCTTCTCGTTTACTCACCTTCCCGTTTAGTCACCTTCTCGTTTACTCACCTTCTCGTTTACTCACCTTCCCGTTTAGTCACCTTCCCGTTTACTCACCATCTTTAATTTCCGGCTAGTCCACCTCTTTACTCTTCTCTTTGTAACTCCTTGTTCAGATCTAATAAAACGTCTTTGTTCGCCCTCATCTCTCTCTTTATATTGTTCAAACCATTTTCACCTAAAACAATTTGGCGCCCACCGTGGGGCTCTGAACAAAGCAACGTTATCAGATCTAGACATGCCTGACGACGGAACCGTCTCCGGAACCGCCAGCGAGGAGCCGACTCAGACTCCCGTGTCCGAAACAGCCCTTCCGCCCGACTTCATGAGCTCCGTCATGGCGCGTTTCGCCAGACAAGACGAAATACAAAAGGAGACTCAAGCTCAACTCGCCGCACTCGTAGCAGCGTTAACAGCAGCTCCCACCGAGCAGACGAGTAACTCTCAACCGTTCCGACGTCATCTCTTCAACACTAACCCGACGGCGCCGGTAGTCGACCATACCTCCGAAGAGTCGGAACCCACCGAGCCGCACACTGCAGAAACAGCTCAAGTCGGCCCAGATCTCACGACTGTCCGTGAAATCGCCGAGCTCAAACTGAACCTCCAACAGATGAGCTCCATGATTCACAAGGTTACTAGCGCCGCTCCACAGATCGAGTGTTCTCGCTTCAACCGAGCGTACTCCATTCACCAGTACGTTGACTAGCGTAAACTTCCGCAAGATTGAGAAGCTGCGCGTCCCGCAGTACAAACCCGGCGGTGACCCTATGGAGCATATTACTGCTTTCAACATCGCGATGGCCCGAGCGCGGCTACCCGACGACGAAAGAGACGCCACCTACTGTCAGCTGTTCGTTGAAACCCTTCACGACCAAGCTCTGACCTGGTTCTCAGGGCTCAAGGAGAACTCCATCAGCAGCTTCAGAGAACTCTCGTCGGCCTTCCTCAATACCTACATCATGTTTACTAAGCATGAAGCAACAGTCTCCAGTTTGTGGAACCTAAAGCAAACCAAAGACCAAAGTCTCCGAGACTTCATGGAACGTTTCAAGTCAATCGTCTCAAAGCTCGACATTCCAGACCATATCGCCATCGACGCTTTGATGAACACCCTCCATCTCGATTCCAAGTTCCAAGAAGACCTGTACCGGAGCACCTCAATGACGCTTCAGGACGCCATTGCTCGTTCACATAACTTTATCCGCATGGAAGAAGACACAAAAGCAATCATGGAGAAGCGCACGCAGCGAAAGTCCGGTGGTAAAGGTGGAGAGAAAAGTCGCGTAGACGGCAAACCTTCGGACGACACAGACAACGAAGCTTCTTCGGCAGACGAGGAGCAACCGGCGAACCGCCAACGTATCGAAGTGATACGAGCTCAGCAGCCCTTATCGTCCGACGACGAAGACGATCACTCGTCGGTACCACGGAGCCTCCCTCGGCGGAGCTTTCTCAAGCAAAAGGTGGCGACAAACAACAACGTCAATAACACCGATCTCCGTCTTAAGCTCAAAGCCAACAAGTCGCAGCGTCTCGAAACCACGGAGCCTCCCTTGTCGATCGGCGAGCCTGTTACCGACCTCCATCTTAAGCTCAAAGCCAACAAGTAACAGCGTCTCAAAACCACAGGGTCTCCCTTGTCGACCGACAAGCCCGTCACCGACCTTCGTGACAAACTTAACGGCAATCTGACTGATTTACCCGTGCGGCTAAACCGTTCCAGATCAACGGATCTACGACGACGGCTAGAACGGTCATCTTCATCCCAAAACATAGACGATTCCGATCCAAGCAAGACGGTGTGCGTCGGTGTTACACACGTAAAACTATTCTTATATTTATAGATCTGACTAATTTTGAAACGTACACATGTTTTTTCTTCTTTATCCACTTCCGACATTGCCAAAGCAGCAGGGCGTGACTCATCTGCTTATGCGAACATTGACTTGTGTAATCTCCGTTATGGACAAGACCTTATTGCACTCATGTGCATAAGGAGGGCTGGTCTGNTGTCCTTTATGTCTTGTCTTTTTCGCATCAGGATGGGTTTGAAAAAGCTAAAGCTTGTTGGACTAGATCTAATTGGTCCAGATGATTTGACTCCAGTTCTTGCTATCTGTTCTTTAACGAACTTGGAGCTGCACAACCTGTTGTAAGTGTTCTCCTTTGGTTTCTTATACAATGAAATAGGAAAAACATTTAGTCACTTTGTTTCATTTTGGGTTTTGGCAAGGCTTGTGCCTCTGGATTATGCTATGGACGTAGCGAGTGTACACTGCAAACAACTGCAGTGCTTTGAGTACACCTGTAAAGACAGTAGAAAGATGTACTCTGTGTTTGCAGATGATGTACTAGTGTTCTCGGATGGTAAAAAAAGGTCAGTAGAAAGAATTCTTCAGGTTTTTAAGCAGTTTGCAGAGTGCTCTGGTCTGAATATAAGCATGGAGAAATCTACCCCTTACCTTGCTGGAGTTAGGGACACAGAAAGACGAGAAATCATGAGAATTTATCATTTTCAGCAGGCAGTTTACCAGTACGCTACTTGGGTGTACCCTTAATGACGAAAAAAATGACTGGCAGATTATACTCCAATTATCAAAAAGTGCGTTCTCGGATCAGCTCCTGGAACAATAGATTTTCATCTTTTGCGGG